CTCGGGCTACAGTGGCCCTGATGATGCTTCCTCTGATCAGACCATCTACCCCACAATGCCATAAGCCCCCTCTTGGCCTTCTTCTACCTTTTCTACTTAAATGTCAATGACAGTTTTAAATCAAGCAGTATTATATCTTTTTTGAGTTTTCATTCTACCTCCTTGGAACATTTCAAATAACTTTATATAAACGAAGAATATTTAACAATGAGCAGAAGAACAAACTTTTCTTCTTGTCAAAGCTATTACAGTTCCATGACAATGGTACCTATTGAGGACAATAGGAAACCAATTGCCAGTAGATACTAGCAAAATTAAAGTTTGGGAAGTCTTTAGGCCCTATTCTACCCCCATAAAAAAGATAGGATTGGAAAAGATTCAATTAACATTTCATTATTGTTAATTTTTACAGCATATTTAGTAGAGCTCAATTTTAAGGTAAAACAGCAACCTAAAATGCCTAAGTGATTAGTTTATTAAATATAATTTCATTCATTTTATCTTATTTTTATTTTAGTTAGTGCAGGAGTGGGAATAAATAGAGAAGAAATTTCACATTAACTATCTTCCTAAAAACAAGTTTCAAACAACAGGCACATGCCAAAGAACAAAATAGAGACACAATAATATTTAGTTTTATGGTATCATTTGTTGTCATTTCACGGAATAGGAAAAATTCCAAACTAGAAGTTAATTGAAAGTAAGAGTTCTATTTTAGAACTTAATCACATTAAGTATTTTTCCAGATTCCTTATATTTTTTGCCTTTTCCCTAAACTTAGTTCACTCAAGCCAATACAATTTAAAGTTCTTTCTGCCTTCTTTTAGAGTCAATTACAGTTTGATTCCTTTCTTCTCATATCTGTGGCCTTGTCCCCCATACCACTCCATCCTTTTTTTAAAATTAATTTTATTGGTACATTTTAGGTATACAATCTAATGACATTCATCATTGGAAATTTGCACCTTTACATAATCTCTCTAGGTTCTTATTTTTTCCCCTCCATTTCTTGGAAGAGTGATGCAAGTAGAACCTATTGAAAGACTGACATTTCATAAAAGTTTGATTGTTGTTGGTGTTACATTGGTTTATCACTTCTGTATATGTAGGGGGATAGTCTAAGAGTCTTCAGTTCTTCTGTTGGAATAAAAAAAAATCCTAGAAAAATCATTTTCTTTCAAAAATTTAGTTTAAAAATTAATATAGAAATTATATCTATGTTTTAGAAATTAACTTTGCTGAAGAATTGAGCCGCTCTTAAAAAGAAATGAACCAACTTATACAGTCAATATAAATGGAGCAAAATGCTATTTTTTTCTCTAATGATAAGATGACTATTAGTGTCTAATAGTAAGATTGCACACAAGGGTAAACGGAAAATTTCAAATGTTGTCCTTTTGAGGTGTGTCATGATAGTTTTATAGTTCACTATTCATTAACATTTAAAGTTTTTAGGTAAATTGAATATAATTTTTTATATGAAAGAGCACTGAAGATCAACAGTAGTTTTTGAATGAAGAACCTTGGCATTTCTTTCTGTTTCCCTTGTGCTTTTTAAATTGTGATATGATTCTCTTCAATGTGTGCTGGCCTCCTTCTCTTGCTCTATTAACCACTATATATTTTTACTAGCTTTAATTTACCTTTTGATCACGCTATTTTTGTGTGCATATATTTGTCATACTTCTATTTCTTATACTCCACAGGAAGCAGGCTGTTTTTAAAACTTAAAACTATAATTGCCAATGTTCACGACTCTGAGATCCAATAAATAATGTTTTTTTGAGATGCTTCTAAGATGTACCATTCTTTAAAATCTGCAAAGACATTCTTCATTATCTTTTACAGACTACTATAATCTATGTTAGACAAAGCATACATACTCTCATGATGGAGGTACGTTTGAAATCACATATAGTGAAAGAATTGAATATAATTTTAAATTAAAAAAATATTACCGATTTTTTTTCACCATTATACACAAAAAGAAAGAGAGAAATGCTCTCAATTTCAACTTTTTGATAACTTTAATTCTGTATTCTGGCTTCTTTTTGCTACAAGCAGGCATATTTATATCATCTTATTCTTTTGTTTTCTTTTCCTTTCTCTTTCTTTTCTTTTACTTTGTTTTGTCTTCTGAGATTTAAACCTGATTTTCTTGGAGAAAAATGCAGAGTAAAAGCATGAAGGTACACAGAAATTGACTTAATTTCAACATTGCTTTCTATTGAGATATATACCTATGCTAAGCTAAATATGATCATTTGTGGTAAAAGACAAAGGATAACTTCTCAACCACATTGCAATGTTAATAAGTCATTTAATTTATTAATTTTCAGAATAAAAATTTCATGTCTTATGTGCGAATTCAAACAAGTTAAACAATCTAATAATTTATACTTAGGTATTTCCTAGTCTGTGATTTTAAAAAGTCATGGAATGAAAAATAACATTTTAAAGAAACAATCCTTTCCTGCGGAGTTTTGATCATATGAATACAAACACTAATCAATACACATAAACTTGTAACAGGTATTGTAAATAACTGTTTTAATAAATCATGATACATTACTTCTTTTAGTAATTTCAAAACACTGAAATAAAATATGATCTTGCTCTGCAGTGCATTACAAAAATCCAAATAAAAACAAATAACTACAAATTTGGAGAATTCAGAAAGGAATATAAAAGCCATCAAAATTTTACAAATTTAAAATATTTTCTTTAAAATCCTAGATGATTAAAATTATATTATCTTCTGGAAAAAAACACTATTGATTTACAAGTTTTATACTTCTATAAATTAGTTAAAATAAAGAAGCTCATAATGGCAGGCATACATTTGCTTGAATACCTCATGGTAGATGGTGACATTGATGAATGTGTCCATAGGTGAGTGGTCCTCAACTACAACATCTCATGACCTGCAGGTGTTCCTACAGTGTCTTCCCATTGCTTAGGGTTTGTAATTGTTCTGTCTACTTTGTCTCTCTGTGAAACTGAATCTTTCCACTTCCTCATACCCCTGCTACGTGCCACCATGATTTTTTCTCCATAGCCACGATTAGCTCTCTTAGGCTTGAAGTTGTGATTCAAGACATCAAGAAAATGTTCTTTTTTTTACCTCGCTTCCCCATCTTTTCATTGCACTATGTCAAGCACATTGGAAAGTATTCTATTTTCTGAGTTGTTTATCCTGTTCATATGCCAAATGTAGTGGAACTGAGTCCTGGTCTCCTTGAAAGGTAACATTAAATCATATATATGCTTGAGCAAATCACATTTTTTGTGATCAACTGCAATTTGTATATTTTAGGAATATGTAGCATAATGAATTTGCATAGGAATTCATGAAATAGTAAAAGACTTGTAAGTCTCTTGTTTTATAGACATATAATTAGACCCAAATATGCAATTGATTTGGAAATCACCAGTAGTTTTGGTAGCCAATTATATGCCAGTCCACTTCAAATATTGAGTACAATTTCTTTTCCAGTTCATTACAGATGAATTAAAGTATTTTTATACATATAGACATACATAATATACACACACATATATAGACTATATACATATGTAGACTCTTTTTTAAAATATGATAAAGTTTAGTTAATAACAAGTTGATAAAGAATATAAAATTATTTCATACAGAATATTTGACTTCATAAAAACATATAATCATATTTGTTCATGTTGAATTGCAGATACTTTCTAGAAAATAAGCTCACTTTTAGAGACATTTGCTTAAATTCACCTACTTTCAATCTGCAATGTTATTTTTTCATCATATATTATGTAATATAATTATGTAAAATGAACATGAAAAACTTATTTTGAGAATTTCATGTTCAAACACACTAATTATAGTTTGTTGGCTACTTGATGTTATCCTTGAATGCTACAGGCAGAAGTCAAGGTTTGAAAGGAATGTAGCTTTGACAAGTGCATGGAATAGAAATATGCTTAAACTAAAGAACTCAGAATGCTTCTTGATGATGAAACCAAGCCCTACAGGCTTAGCTGCAGACTAGACAGAAAAGGACATACATGAGGAGTGAGCATGAGTTTTCTTAGATTGTAGAATACTAATTTCAAAAGTTTCTTTCCACACATATTTATTTATTCCACATACACCTGTGTATTTATTATCTGCTAGGAAGGAGTCACACAGTCAACCAGGTAATAAATGCATACATTAAGTAACTGTAAGTTGAAGTTATTGCCATGGCAAGAGAACTGAGAATCTGAGGGACTCACCTGAGGAAAATTTTCTCTGAGGAGGTGACTTTAGTCTCAAATCTGAGGGTTTTAAACATACAATGAGAGAAAGGAAAGATGTCCTGATTGTGGGGGAAGAGCGTGTGTTATGGAGGTGGTGACAGAAGAAATGGCAGGTGGACCTGTCGACCAGGTGGACAGCTCATCAGAGGAGAATGACTGAAATATGCCTCAGAAGGAGGACAGATGTGCACATCTAAATTCTTAAAAGAAAAAAGATTTTTTAAAGGAATCTGAAAATATCTTTAAGTCTCAATGAGACCAAATTCCTTCAAAGTCAAGGTTTTGCACTGACATTTAAATGAAGCAAATGAGCCCTTTCCCCAGATTTACAACTTACAAGTTAAATGTACTGACCCGTCGGTCCATTTAAAAACAGTTTTCCATTAACAGGTTGCATTATCATAAAAACATCATGACAGAAAATTTCCTTTAATATTCTTGCTTGTCACTATCTTTAAAAGTCCTGAAGTTAAAAAAAAAAAATGACCCTAAAAGCAGGAGAGATCTAACTAAATATCTGAGAATGAAACACACAAGCATGTTCCTCCCAAATGCACAGAACAAGATGAGGGAGCATAAGAAATGAGTTAAAATGCCTGTCGCCTAGTGGATTCCGGACAGACAGCAGTCTTTAAGACCCAGCGACAGTATTTGTCTGGAGAGGAAATGTTGCTTTTTGACAGATGAGAGAAATCCCCTTATTGCTGGCTGTAGGAAGAGAGACGGGAAGTCAGTCACCTGGTGGCGAAGGCCAGTAACACAGCAGAGCAGAAAGAAAATCGCTTTCTCCCTCTCTTTCCTCTGTAGGATGCACCTCCTATTCCCTCAACTCTTTTAGCGTAACCTTCAAAGAAGAACGTTCCCTTCAGACTTTATTATCGCCTTTTCCCTAATGAGAGAATACCTCTTAGCCGCAAGACATTTTTTTTTTTTTGTAAGTCTATGCAGGACTTCGGGGATTCTGCTATCTTGCCAGGGAAATTGATCCCTACTAATGTCTGGGACTCACAGTGTGCTAAATTAGCTACCGGAGTGAACCTGCCAGAGAGGAAGGCTTTTATCACATACTCTTCTCTTCAGTTTGAACATATTTGCTTGAAATTTGCCGCATGATGCTGTCCAGGGAAGCAGCTTTCTTCCTTGGGATGCAGCAGTTCGCTGGTTTCTAAGCTTATGGCAGAAGAAGAAATAATCTTAAATAGAGTGGATTTTTCCCACCCCTCTGCTTGCTTTGCCTGAGCTTGGTTGCACCGCTTTAACGATGATCACCTGTCACTAAACCTTTGAGGAAGTAAAACAAAGTGAATTATCATTATCATTTATTTATTTTTATTATTTTTAACCGGTGGAGGCGGCGTGAGCACGGAGAATGAGACTGAGAGAAGCTGCCCGGGTCTGGAGGAGGATAAAGCTGAGTTTAAGCTGGAAACTAAAACACTAGATTGTTTTTCGGTACAACTTGCCCGGTTCCTCTCCACTTCCTTTAGTTTCGCTCCATGGACAGATCAACAGACCTGGACATTGAGGAGCTCAAGGTACGTGATGCGGCGGCGGGCGTCGTTCCCGACCGGCTCGCTGCTGTCCCCGCGCCCCGGAGTAGTTGCGGGGCGCCGCGGGCGCTCGGGGCGCAGGGTCCCCTAACCCTCCCAGGGCCGCGGAAACGGAGGGCGGCTTCCTGTTGCCCTCTCGGGCTGGGCTTTCCTCCCTGCCTGCTCCTGCTGACGACGGCCACCCTGTCCTCCCCTTCCTCCTCCTCCGTGAAGGCAGCTTCGGCGGGGTGCAAGATCCAGCGCCCCCTGAACTCGCCCGGGAAGCGGCGGCCACAGCACGATCTCTGTGTGCTGTCCCCCGGTTTCCCGGCAAAGTTGTCCGAGATGCGCGGCCACTTTGCCTCCTCTCCCAGTTCGGATCCGCTTCTGCCCCCCCCCCCCCGCGCCCCCCGCCATCGGGACAACCGCGGGAACAGCCTATTTCCGCCCGTGTTCTCCCAGGGCTCCGCGAGACCTCTCCCCCCGCGACCGCGGACTCGGTGGTCCCCGCTGTGCCACTGCCCCGGGGCGCCCGGATGGACGATCAGCCAGGGGTCCCCGTAAATGGGGGGACCAAGGGCGCCTGCGGGCTAAGGAAGTGGGGAGAGCAGGTCCGAGGGGGTGGGGCGGTGGCCGGAGCCTGGGGGTCCCGAGCCCCCCGCGCGCCCTCACCCTCCCCGCCGCTCCGCCCCGAGCCCCGGATCCCAGCCTGGGCGGTGAGGGGGTTGCCCTGTGTGAATTTTCCAGTTTGCTCCTCAATTGGTGGGCATCGCTGCCTGTGGGAGCCGATTAAATAAAAGAACTTAAAAAATCAACAAACCACAAAATAATTTAAATGTCCCGCTCACTGTAAACGAAAAAAGCAAGAAAGGGGGCGATACTAGGATTGTTTTTTTTTTTTTTTAATTCACCCTTCTTTACCTCTAGGCATTTCGTGCAAAGGCTATTTTTTACTAGAGATTTAGATGAACTCTTTGTTAAGTGAGGACTTCTTAGACATCATCTATCTCACTTTGGGGAAACTCGACTAGTAGAGGAAATGTCAGGAAAATGGGTTTGTCCAATAAGCTGTCCTCCGAGTCCGGGAAATCCCCTCTAGAGTGCAAAACCTCTGTGTGCATCTCCTCCTGTTCTTGGCCACCAAATAACCCAGTCCGAGAGCAGCTTATTTCTCCTGGCTCTCCACACTGAAGGGAGGACGGAGGGACAGGCGGTAGAGACGGTGGAATTGGCTCTGCCACTGAGGGTGGATGAAGTCAGGGTGGACCCTAGACATCACTTCCAGTGGAAGCTCGGGGTTCCACAGAGGAAGGGTGGCAACCCGGGGTGGGGGGTGCTTTATGCTCCAGTGAAAGTTGGCAGAGAACAAGGTTCTGTGTTTTGGCCACGGTCACAGTCAGTAGATACTGCCCTGGACTAGAAGCCTCCTGTGCTCTCTGTCCTATACCAACAGAGAACACTTTCCATGTGCTTAACAAGGTCCCTCACTGTCTCACCCCAGTATCTTGTGAGAGTTAGAGATTTTATTTGAGATGTAAAGGAGAGCATAGGAACAGTGTTTGTGATGTGTATTTTATACAGAGGGGGAGTATCCAGATTTTTGTGGTGGTTGTTAACTAGGGTATGGCACAGATGAAGTATTTTCTTATGATCAACAAAAGAGGAAAAATGATGTGAGGTGATCAATTCTCCTGATACTCCTTTAGTTTCCTGCTAGCTTCCCTTCTTCTCATAACCACTAAATGGCTTAAATGAGAAAAAGCAGCCCACCGTAAAACTTCTGTCTGGTGTTAGTAGAAGATTCCAGCTTAATCTTAATACTGCTGCTCATCAGTTCAGAGATTCTCACAGCCTGAGGGTGCAGCACTTTGGATGGGCAGCAGAGGGGAGAGAGATAGAAGGGCTTGGGTCTGAAGGCGTGTATTGGGAATGACTGGGGAAACATGAAGGAATGTTAGAGGGTAAAGATGTGTTGAGGTAGCTGAGAAATTTTGTTGGGACAGACTCCTACTGAGAATCAACACTTGCACAATAGAAAATGTGGTCAAGCCTTATTAAAAAATGTTTGAGGTCCTCCAGTTTGGGAAATCAATTTGTGCTGTCAGTTTGGACTACACTTCTGGAATACGGAGGCTTTGGAATATTTAGTGACTGAAATATATATACTTTCTGATGGATGCACTGCACGGAGAAGAACTTGTCTGAATTTCCTCTTGCAACAGAATCCATTGACTTGGTTTCCCTAGACACTTTCAGAGGCTTCTTCCTAAAGAGTCTCCTGGAATGATCAGTGGGGAAATGGGAGAGAAAAGCTGAGGATTCTTATTTTTTTGGCATTATTTGTCTGTTTTTACTTTTTTTATTATTCAATGGTGGGTATGCTGAGGTACATCCATATAAGACTTTAGTTTTTATGATGCTTAACAACATGGAAAAAGTCAATGTTCACAGGGTTATTCTATAAATAGAATAACATAAATATTCTAAGAATCCAATTTAGCTTAGGTTTTATGTCATAAGTAACATTAGGTGAAGTTACTTTCTCAATATTTTGGGGAGGGAGTAAACTATTTTCTTTTCACAAGTTTTTGACAAGATATATATTTGGTTCGCAGGGTATAACAGCATTTTAAAAAAGTAAGCTGTACAGTAAATAGTGCTGTCTTTAGCTTTTTATCCTAAAGATAAAATTCAATAATTAAGTGTTAAATCATTACTGTCGTGATCATAACCATAACGTGCATATTAAAGGGTTTGTTGGTGGGAAACTAAAACAAAGTTATGTGTATAAAACTTGCTAATGAAAGCGAGCATGTTTCATCATGTATTCTGCACACAAGCCCCTGATGAAATAGATCAGTGGTAAAAAGGAGAGAGTTCTCTCAAAGAATTCTGGTCTGTTCTTTTCCTTTTGATCTCTGTTTCTTTCTCCAATGAATGTATAAACTTTACTGTGGATTTTGTCTTAGTGTTTGCTTTAAAGAAAAAGAAAAACATCAAACAACCCAAAATATGGGTTGCTGCTTTGGAAATGTGAATGGTAAGGAATATTGGTACTAGAAAAATATCCTGCATTCTGTACTGTCTCTGAATTAAACTGTGTGCCTTTTAGTACTTGATATTTAAATATTAGCTTCAGCTTTTATTTTAGTTCTATAGTTTCCATCTTTTAAACAACTGGTCTTACAGAATGGAATAGAGACTGCTACTAATTTTGAGAGCTGACACTTTAAAGTTTAATCTTTGTGAGAGATATAGAGGCTGAATAAATAATTATGATTAAGTATATAACTTAATACTTAATTAAGTATTGTTGATTCTTTTACTCAGCTTTTGAAATGTGGATTCTAACTCACTGACATTGTCAAACTCATTTGACAATTAAGAAATTATGCTTTCAGATGATGAGAATGTATGGGTGGATAATTGTGGTTTGCTTGAGGATCAAAAATATAATACATATATAAAAAAGTATAATTCCTGCAGTCATATTAGATCCCAAGTTTTACTTATTTATTTGTCAAGATTATTTATTCCCTTAATGGTTAAAAGTTAAAATTGAATTTTTCTACTTACTTACAGAACGTGAACAATGTACTTCTGGAATAATATCTTACCTATTTTTTGTGAGGTTCAAAAGTTGTAAGCTACATGGTGAATCATGAGATGCACAAATCAGCTTTTCAAAAGTGTAAGTTTAATTGATAGAGATAATTTAATGATGCACAGTCACTGTTGCTTAATGTTATCCCTTTAATTTAAACAAAATTTCATCTAGTAAGAACTTGAAGCTTGTCCTAGATATGCAAAGAAAAGCCTTCCCACCAAAATACAATTTAGGCCATTATGAAGGCATTGTATGGGTAGGAAATGATAATCCAGAAAAAACATACCGTAGGTGTTTAAACAAGAGGTTGATATAAAAATGCTGAAGTCTTCAACAAGTCTCATAATATATTCATCTACAATTCAATAAAGTAAGGGAGTTGATACTTAGAATAATTCTATAAGTGTTTTTCTGTTTCATCAATAAGACACTCAGCCCAGGAGAGTCTCGCTTGCTGCAGTGTGGGAGGCTTTGTGATGAGTGTAAGTAGGTGGTATTTTTTATGTTAGTCATTCGATAGTGAAAAATAGTACTCTCCAATACATGCCATATTTTTAGCAACCTGCCTTATATATTCGTTTTTTTCCTGTTGGGATAGAATAAGGAAACATTTGTGAATACTTTTTTTTTCTTTTTTTCCTTCTTGCACATCTAAGGAATTGTGATTTCTCTCCATCCACGTCCAAGTCCAATTCTTTGTTGATAAAAAGAACTAATCATAAAAACTTAGTATCAGTTAACCTTGATCTTAAAGTTATTATCATTTTAATTGATCATTCGCAATATCACATGGGATACAGTATGACATTTTAATATGAAATAATACATAATGATTGAAGCAAATTAATGTAGACATCATCTTTCTGTAGTAAGACACTTGAAACTTTTCAACTATTTTAAAATATTCAATCTCTAATAGCTTAGATTTGATATTCAGAAATAGACTTAGTGAATTGAAATAAACTTCAATTAATACTAGTGAAATATTTTTCCCTAGACAGGAGGAATGAGCAAATATATTTATATAAGTGGGAAGAGAATTAGGAAAAGTATCTTTGAGGGAAATTTTGCAAATGACTATTTAAGAAATCTGCCATGGTCTGCTGTCTTTACTAGCGTATATTCTAATCTCCCTACTAGCTGTTACAACTTTGCTGATCTCCAGACTTTACCTATTGAAATGTATCAAATTTCGAAGTTGCAGTAAAAAGAGTATCTCAAGATTTATGTACTCAAAATCATAGCTCCACAAGATAGCTTAATACTGTAACATAATAAATTGGCATGTATCTTTTGGGACATCACTTTTATATAATATTTAGTGAGTTTTTTCTCATACCATATTGGAATTTCAGCTAAAATAGAATTTGGCAGAGGTTGAAATTTTTAAGTTTAAGGA